TGAATTCCAGGCAGACAGCTTTGTTGGCAAATTCAAGAGCGGTCTGACGTAGATCCCACGTAGCATTAGGGGTTCATGCGAGTATTACGTGAGGAGATGCGCCGAATCATCCGTAGAACGGCGAATGCCATTTAAGCAGTTAGGCGCAGTCAGGCGAGTCTCCTGCGAATACAATATGGACGCGAATTTCGTCATTCAGAGGAGGGTGCCAATCCAACGACTACTGCTTTGCAGCGTCTATATCCATTTGTAGACTGCTAACATTAGAGGTCGTCCGAAAAAGGCAGACATGGACATGAAAGAACACCTGGAAAGTCGTCGACTTATATCAGAAGCAGCAATGGACTCAAAATGATACCTTGAGGAACTCAAATGGAGACCGGTGCCCAAGAACAGACGGTTGAGCCTACTTTCACTCTGAATGTTCCGTCTGAGAGGAATGCCCAAATCCACCAAGGAATTTTCCATCAACTCCCGTAATACCTGCGTTTGTTGAGCAGCTAGACGTGTGAGAATCGGTCGATTGGTTTTCGGAGGCTGAAAAATATGGCATCCGATATGAGTTTCCCTTCTTTGGCTTGAGTTAAGCTGTCCACGAATACCAGCGTGTTCGTCATGCAAGAAGATTTTGAGAAATCTGTGTTGAACTAAAGATAGCAACAGGGCTCATTTCAGAATGCATTCCATCACCTTGCAGGACACGCTAGTGAGACAATCGGTCTGTAGCTGCCGGGCGATAATCAGTCAACATTTTTGTAGATTGACGTGAAAACTCTTCCTTCCGATCAGAGGGGGGTTGACATTCGTCAAGCCACCAACGAAACACTAGTTTGAATTGTTTTGCCAGTGTCAACAAATTTTGTTTCAGGATCCCCGGATTGACGACTTTGGGCCCCGGAGCGCAGATTGGGTTGATTTTGTGCAAGAATTGACAAATGTCGTCCACCGTAAAGACGAAGGCAGTTAGGGGCCATTTACAGCTACACCTCGACGAGGTTAATTGTGATAAGGACGCTGGGGCTGAGTATATATAGCTACACAATGTTCTCTATGATACGACGAAGTGCTTCATGCATTTCTCTTTGAATAGGCGGTAGTCTCCCCGACTTTATGGTACCACGGGTTTGGCTCGATAAGAGCCTTTCCAAAGAAACTAGAATTTCATATGTCGCATCTCTGAAGAGCTGTTTTGGGACTGTGATCAAGGCGGATAGTAAAAGCTCATCACGTTGGCTGAATTTGGGTTAGATATTTGGTTGACGTGGACGGTGGCTGCTTCGCTCACGCCCATGAACGAAAAGACCATGGCTTCTGAGTTTGCGGGATGTATATTTTATTAATATATCTTCACGTCTGAATACGTTCTGGAATGATTTACAATGCCAGGATGGAGGAGAGCGTGGCCCAGATACCGAGCCGTCTGCCTACCCGATGCTTTAAATTAGGACAGCCTTAAAATGCGGAGTTTGTGATCGGTTTACTGAGCGCCTTGCAAGCTACACCTTGCCGTTAACCCTGGCTTCCAAATATCTGATGGACTTCGGAAACACGTTTACTAGTATAGGCAAATGAGTCCCCCAACCACTGTGCTCTTCGATATATTGCAGTGATAGGAACGATATGGTATCGCATTGTAACACATGGTCGATCGGGGGTTATCCATACACCTGAGGGGCACGGTTGCGCAAAGACAAATTAAAGGTGGAAATTACCATTTAGAATCGACACCAAAGCATACTCAAGCGCCTCTAGAGACAGAAGGTTTGGAATAAGATATTTCTTGTGTGAACCTTTTCCGTTTTTGATGCCGGCACCGAGGTAGTACGCGGAAAGTGTCCTCCTGCGACAAAGTGGAGAAGGCCTGTTTTTGTAACGAGTAGGCGTTTGTTCCTTAAGTCAGACATTAAATTATCAATAATATCGAGACTTCAGAAGCGTCTCCGTCATTTTACATTTTTACCCTTTCCACACTTCATCCAGTGTCAAATTTAACTGGTGGATTATACGACAACGAAATGGGTGCTGCCTGCTGCGTACCCGTCCTTAAATTTTGCTTCCGTACCCCTCATAAATTATTGCTTCCCTTGGGAAACGTTCCCACCTGGAATCGAACGTTCACAGTCGGGGTGAAAAATTAGCGCCCTGCTGACCAAACCTGAGATGGTCTTCTGAGCGAGCGTTCCGGCATCCTACACTTAGCATAGCCTGTTCAAGCGGCACAGGGGAATTTCATCATGATTATGCCTAAGCTTGGCGTTGTTTGCGTGCAAACAGGACAAGACGGCAAGCGGCAGGTAAGAAACTCTAATCTGCAACACAGGGCAGCACAAAAGGCGGTCGCACAGTACCATGCGATTAGAAAAGTACTTATAGCAGGCTGCTGGAGATTTCAGCGGTTCCGCTTCCTCATTACAAGTTCCAGGCGTGAAGGGCTCGTTCACATTTCTAGGTTTTGTAGGTCACTGGGTGTCTTGAAACAGAAAGATGTATGGAGCGCCGGCGAAAAACGAGCTCCATATTTCAGGTGTTCAAATTTTTTTGCCGACTATCGACCGCACTTTGTGCTGCAACCAATGATTGCACGAATTGATTGTTTGATTGATGTGCTCCTTCAGTGGTCGTATTCGTCCCGCGCTCCATCTTTTTCTACCTAAACGGAATTCCCCGTTGCCTGGGTCTATGAGTAACAGCCCTCCGCGTCCTGTATACATACATCATCCGGTCCCGATTTCACTCCTTTCCTTCTTGGTCATTCATATCACGTAGCTTACCTGAAAAGAAACTCGAACGTACTCGTCGTAACAAATTCCGGCCTTAACAACATTAGCCGACTCGCACGCTAGAGACTTCTTTTGCGGATAAAGTCGGCTTTCGTAGTGGCACTTGCAAGCCGACCTGCAGTGATTTTCAGTATCTGGTTATTATTTAAAAAACTTCACTGATGAATTCCAGGCAATCATGAGAGGCTAATCCCTTCATTTTCTTACGCTAACCTGAAACTTTTCCACGGACTATCTTACAGATTCGAGCCCAATCTTAACCATCGTTCCTGCTGGCGTGGGGGGGTTCACAACTTGATCCCTCGGGAAGAAGCATTGTTCAACATATAGCCGAGTACCAGGCATCGCCTTATCACACAACTCCCGTCTTTGTTACATAGGTAGCAGAGGGATCCTGATGCCTCATCATATACCCCGAGGAAAGGTATTGCAGCCCGAAGTGACAACTACGAACCCCGTCACCGTCGCAGGCCAGTCGACAGAATATTTCGATCAAACCCAGACAAGTGGGTATTACCCTCAAATGCCTCGTTTGTTATCCCGCAAGCAACATTTTTTCTCCTCCCCCACTGAGGGACTGCCAGGTTCAATCAAATCTAGCAAATTATAGGACACTAGCTTCTTTTTGATGCGTTTAACCAACTGCATATCCCCTAAACCCTGGAGCGGTATGCAACCAATCAACCCTTGAAAAAGCATCGGCTGTATTACCACGCTTGTCCATGAGATCCATCAGTGTAAAGAATGGCTTCACCAGCTCTAAATGGAAAACGCCCCTGACCGTATCGTTGATGGCAAACCCTGGAGCGGTATGCAACCAATCAACCCTTGAAAAAGCATCGGCTGTATTACCACGCTTGTCCATGAGATCCATCAGTGTAAAGAATGGCTTCACCAGCTCTAAATGGAAAACGCCCCTGACCGTATCCGTTGAGTGCGTAGACTCTTCATTTTGACAGCATGTGACACGTCGACGCTATCTTAGCTGCCATGCAGAAGCCACTTACGTGTTACTCCATATTACTGGGGTCAAGAGGCGAAAGGGATGCCGTCCGGCAGTTGACATTTTAGGGAGCTCTTTCTCCCTTCCAGTAATTCAAGGCGGTAAATCCCAAGGCTGCGAACACACACGACTCACTTAACATCCTACAGCCGATCTCAAATGCCGGCTGATCAAAACTTCCAAACAAAATTCTTTATCACCTAAGCAAATCAATACCTTCAATGTAACATGAACTCAGACCTCACCTACAGCCAGCATCTTTCACAACCACACAGGCCGTCGTTATCACACCTGGAAACAGCAGGTCATGCACCCTGACCGTGGACAACATTTTATTAGTTTTGCTGGATACAATGGTCTTTCCTGCTTTTGAATCAAAAGGTTTTGGAACCCGAATATCTGAGGCAATGCTGGAGCTGCCAGGCACTCTTATTCGCTTTGTACCCCGGTACTACACCTTGCTTTAAAGCCTTGCAAGCGTGTCTATCAGCTCCGAGACTCACAAAGTGCCGAACCATCCTTCTTGTTGCAACTCAGGTCAACCAGCTCAATTCCAGTTGCTCACTAGTTACCAAGACTTTTAATGTGATCAGTCCTTTCATAAACTTAAAAAGCATGGCAAAAATCATGGGCGCTTCACCGGAAGCTGTTGACGACATTCTTTCCCTGTAACCTAGCCCCATCGGCAGTCGTATACAAACCCGTTGTATCCATGACTGCTAGTAACTACGCCAAACTTTTTGCTTTATCCGTGTGATTTTGCGTCTTGGACTTTTTCTAGAACTAAACACACGAAAAACTATCCACTTGCTCCCAGCCCCACACACCCTCCATCGCCTTTACAAATCGGTTATTTGTTTTACCACCTGTAAAAAGTATGAATTGCCCCAACATTCAAGCTCAGCAGTCCGAAGAGCTGATGACTCGTCCATACTGCCTGGAACAACGGTGCACTAGACATTGCCAGCAGTCATCCGCCGCATGCTCTTCGGCCCACTGTCCCTCCACTTCACGCCTCCATTATTTCCATCATCGTACCCAAGCACACTCAATAAGAAGCACAACCCCCACTGAGATCTCAAGGCTCTCTCCTCTCCTATCCTAGAAAGCGGGATTTTCCTCCGACCTCTGTAACATAATTACATCAAAACAACTGCTGGGCGAAACCTACTTACCCACAAAAACCTTCAGTTAGCTTGGCTCCTACATGTTCCTACCTAGCTTCCTGCCAGCGTAGGTCCTGTTCGATAAATTTTCGGCGGCTACCCCTCCCGCCAGATTCAACAAACTTTTTCACTATGCCACGTTCTGCACCGGCGGTCCTGTGTGGGACTTGATGCAAGGCTAACGAATCTCCTCTCAACTGCATGCCCTCCTCCAAAAGTAGTTCCCAGCCGTTTACTGGGCCTCCTGATACAGTTTCTTTCGTTGGCTCAGTTCAACTTTCTCACCGTTCACCGCTCAACCCCGGCGTTGAGTTTACCCCCAAAAGACTTAGAACACGTTCAGCTAACCTCGACTTCACGTACGTCCACCCCTTCCTCTTGAGTACTCCCGACGCTGCGCTACTGTAAGCGAATTCGCCAACTACCTACTTAGTACAACTGACTTGTGACTTAGCCAATGAGTATGCAGTTCAGAGACAGCTCGTTGCTACCAAGAACCCATGATATCCATACCGTTAGCACCGTCTGTAGAAGGCAGCTTATGAGCAACGCGCTCCCGTCTCAAGGCAACGCGTGGCAGCCAACCCCCACACTTATCTCCATTGACCAGATGAACTGAAACCTTGTTCTAAGGGACTATTTTTTATAACTTTTACGACTTTTGGTAGGGCATTGTGTCTTATGTGGTTACTCATCGTTGATTTCTGTTATATTGTGACAGCATCAAACAAGTGGCGAAGTGATCTCTGTTTTATTTTCAGGCTGGCGACTGTACCGCCTTATTTTGTAACTCCTACGGTATCTGCACTAAAGAATCTGTTGAGGTTTGTTGAATATGTGTATTAATATCTTTGCAATGTGATTCCAATAATCGCATTTCTTGGTTTCTTTCGTTGACTGGCACGCGTCACTTAAGTTCAGGAAGCAGATAGCCACAACATCGTAACACTATCGAACCTGATTTTTGTGACGGACAAATGGCTCTCGTTTGAAATTCTGTGGACGGATATTTCAACGGGTTATAATATTCGCCGCTCAAACAGGAAAAGTGCTGGGGTAAAAGGTTGAGCCTATAGCCGAACTTCATGCTGCCATCACCAAAGCGCCTGTCCTCGAAGGGATGACGCCTGCAAAGCAACTCATTTTTTCAGGGCCTTCACGTTTGTCTTCAGGCCGTAACTCTGCTATTCTCAGGCAGATCATTGTACAAATTCGTAAAACCACCGAAAATCTCACGTTTCCTCTGATACCATGTATCCGCACGCTCCGAGCTGTGTTAGTTGCGTAGAGTTGAGCTAATTCACATCCACCATAATCCTATAAGCTTACGTCCGTTTGCATTAACTTAATTAACGATTGCCGTTTTTGAAATCGGGCAGTGGCGGGTAACTGCATTAGTTAGAAGTCGCGGCCGAATTTGGGTGTCTGCCATTCTGCACCGCAGTATAACTCATGCCATAATTCTCTCCAGAAAACATTTTGACACTTGTTTCCACTTTGGATTCCCTATTTAGACACGGCGTCTTATTGCCTGGTTTGAATGACAACAATCGGCCACCGTGCGTCTCCGATTAGCTCAGAAATATCATTGATTCATGCTGATCTTAATTTGCAACAATTACCTGGCTAATCTTAACTACCATGACAAATCGAATGACCGTTTATGATATCCACGTAAGGGACTGTCCATGAACTCGTGTACGAATTTGCGATGATGGTGCGGAGAGTGTCATACCAAATAGGATGGTTTCGCCGTAGTTTATGTAGAAGGCGGCTTACCAACAATGTGCTCCCGGTTCCAACCACGTGCGACAGCCAATCTCCATATTTATTCCCCTTGATCAGATGAACTGAAACCTTCTTGTTTTACTGAACTATTTTTTATCTCTTACGGCTTTGGTCGGACATCGTGATTTTTGTGGTTGCTCGCCGTCGATATCTGTTTGGTTGTGACGATATCGATTTTGAGGCGTAGTCATGTGTGCTTTATCCTCAGGCTGGTGATCGTACCGCCTTATTTTGTAACCCTACGGTATCTGCAGCGGAGAATCCGTTGGGGTTTGTTAAATATGTGTATTACTATCTTTGCAATAGCACCGTGATTCCATATTTCGAATTTCTTGGTCGTTTTCGTAGATAGGCACGCGTGACTCAAACTCAAAAAACAGACAGCCGTAACAGTACTCAATGGATCTTCGAACTGGGAGAAGATGGTGGAAGCCACGTCAGTGGATCTCTGTCTACCGGAGGAATCGAGGCAATTTGGCCATTCTGACAATCCTCTAGCTATTGGTTCATCTCCTGTCTCTGACTCCTCTAAGCTTAGAAAATTAAAGTCGGTTGCGTTAATGCGTGCGCAGATTAAGACAAAGGAAATGGAAAAAGAATTGCAGCTTTTGAGGGCGCGTAATGAGGTGCGTCTAGCGAAGTTAGAGCTGGGTTCTGACGATAATTCCGTCGTTGACGTGCAGGTTGACAGATTACCTAGACGGGATGTCAAGTAGCACGCCCATATGTGAGACACCAGCTGTAACGGTCGAACGGTATCTTCGAGTGACGCGTAATACCAGAAACTCCGGGTAGGCAAAACAAAGTCGGAGCTCGGTTTCTATACGGTACTATTAGGGTAAGCGAAATTCACAAATTATACAAACCTCGACAGTAGATACGCGTCCAAAACAAACAGACCGCTTGGTCTACAAAAGTACAAAGCAAGGGAGCAAACAGGCTCCCACGTGCGACATTCAGACGTGTAACGTCAGCTACAACTGGTCGGATGACCTCAAGGCCAAATGGGTGAAGTGGTAAGGACAAACAAGTGTCATTTCATATATACACACTAAGCACAAAAGTGGGGCGGGGGTTAAAAATGGGACAACATAACGAATGATACACCAGCGGTCCAAACGACTTGTTGCGTGGTTTAAAGCAGACCTAACTAGAGTGGACTTAGAAGCTTTCGACGGCAACCCGAGTTGTTATTGGAGATTTATTCAACAGTTCAAACACTACGTAGAAGATAGAGTGCAAGATAGCGGACAGATGATGCTTTATTTGATTTATTACTGCAGAGGTCCTGCGGAGGAATCCGTGGCTGAGTGCGTGATGTTGCCTCCGGAGATTGCTTACAGTAGAGCGAGAGAAATATTCAAGGATCTCTTTGGGAGAGAATATATGGTGGCCAGAGCCATACTGGACGATCTGTTCAAGAAATTGAAACCGTTGATTGATGATGCAGATTCATTGTCCCCTTTTTGTCGATAAATCTTCAAAACTGTCACGTTGCTCCAATTCAGATGAATCATACTGGTGACATGAATTCCGTCTCAACCATAGAGCGCATTCTCCGCACGTTATCGCATGATGCTCGTCGGAACTGGGCGAGGTTGGCTGACTGTACGGACAAACTTGGAAACAGATAGGTTTCTCTGACCTATTCAACTTCACTTCTCAAGAGGCCCGCATTGCTTGCAGCCGCTACTGTATACTTGCCATAGGCTCAAAAACAGCATCATCGGGTAGGCAATGAAAGGCGCCATAATATATTTGCCATTCGGAAGGAAACCGATAACTTGTACCATTTTTGCGACGGCAGACACGGGCTGGCGCAAAGTCGTAAGTTTACTGACCTGCCAACGCAAGCAAGGTGGCGTGTGGCGAGAAGGAAATTGTTGTTTTGTATGCCTAAAACCAGGCCATGCCAGTAGCAAGTGCGATTCTCCTAAGAAGTGTGGTATAGAGAGCTGCCTGGGGTCTCACAATCATCTGTTGCATGTAATGCCGAATGCCAACAAAACCACACTGGTTGGTTTGGGCAACTCGACATCGCAGACGGAATCAGGAGTCTGCCTTGGCGTCGTGCCGGTTCGTATGAATGGTCCGCAAGGCAAGGTTACCACGTACGCATTGTTGGATGGTGGGTCGGACATAACACTGGTTACTTAGGACTTGCTTGATGCGGTCGGTCTGACCGGCACTCCAAAAACTTCGAAGCTATCGACAGTGATTGGGACCTCCACTGTTGAGGCTGCATGTCTCAGAATCCAGTTTGGATCGGCAGATTCAGGTGAAACCGAAGTGACTAAACAAGCCTTTGCAATACGCCCTCTGCCTATCAGCCCACCATTCATGAGCCCAACGAAGATAGCTAGTCAATATGATCACTTGAAGGATACTACGTTTATGGAGCTTCCAGATAAGCGTGTGAGAATATTGATAGGAGAGGACGTTCCAGAGGTACGCTGGCCTATAGAGAAAAGGTTGGGCAAGCGGAAGGAACCGTACGCTGTAAAGACACCTTTGGGTTGTGTTCTACTTGGTCCGTTGTCCATAGGACGTGGAGCCTGGAGACATGTCCACCATGTAAGTATGAAAGATGATGACATCACTGCTCATCTAAAGGTCCTGTATAAGGCTGACTTCGGCGATCTAGAGACTCCGGACGCATGCCGAAGTGTCGAGGACAAAGAAGCGCTTCGAATCGTTGAAGAGTTTTCAGTGTTCAAGAATGGTCATTACGAAGTACCATTACCGTGAGAGACTTCCTGACAATTATCGTATAGCCCACTCTCGATTGCAATATATGAGAAGGCGTTTTGCAAAGGATCTGACGTTGTTAGCGCGAACAGAGAACGCATGAACAATAACATCATTAAGGGCTACTTCGAATCTGTACTCACTCGTCAACCAGAATTAGGGGATGAAAGGAAGTCGTATCTACCTCATCACCCCGTTTTGAACCCAAAGAAAATGAAAAAGCTGCGGCCAATTTTGAGGATGCATCCCTAAACGATACATTGCATCAAGATCCCGACACTACTGCGAATTTGTTGGGAGTTCTTTTACGCTTCCGAAGTGATTACGCAGCTGTGGCTGCAGACATTTCCGAAACGTTCATGCAACTAAAGGTTTCCGAAAGCGATAGGGGTGCATCACGCGTGTTATGGTGGGACTCGGAAGACTTGACTGGCAAGCCCAAGTAATTTCAAATGACACCCCATCAATCCTCACCGTTTTGTGCCAATTTTACCTTGAGAAGGACAATCTCAGACAGTGGATCGAATTGCATGACTGAAGTGAAACAATCAGTGGATAGATGCTTCTACATTGATTATTAATTAGCATCACTTCCGGATGTGAGCGTGGCTCAAAGATTTGTGCGTGAGCTAAGTCGAGTTTTATCAAAGGGCGGTTTCCACTTAAGAGGATGGATGTGTAATAGGGAGTCTCTCCTGAGTAAGGCATGTGAGTCGGATATTTCATCATCGGTGCTTTCCATTGAAGCCTTTCAGGCAGTCGAAAGGAAGTTGGGTTTTCAAAGCTAAAGCGGATGAATTTCGCTTCGCCTTTGTTTTTCCCGATCGACCGCTCACTCGGCGAGGAATACTGTCTTCGATCTCTTCACTGTTTGATCCCTTGGGTTTGGTAGCCCCTATGCTCTTGCCAGCTAAAATACTATTACAAAAGCTGTGCAAGAAGCAACTACATTGGTATGATAAACTGAGCGATGAAGACTCAGAAGAGTGGCAGAGATGGTTGGAAAGTATGATATCATTAGGGGAACTGAAAATACCCCGTTGCGTGAAACCTGTCCAGATTCATGATGCAAAGTTAGACTTGTAGACTTCTAGTGACGCCTCTGAAGTGGGGTATGGTGTGGTTGGGTATTGTCGCTGGTGCGTCGAACCCGAGAAATTCACATGCATGCTGATATACACCAAGTCTAGATTGGCACCTTGGAAATCTATAGCAATGCAGA